ATCTTTTATTTGCTTTCTTCCCTCTTTGTGACCACTTAGTCTGCATTGGGAGACCACAGGGGTCTTCTGTTGCCTTGAGTTCCCATGCTCCTTCCTGTGTGTATGTATACCCATGGGGTTATTTCGTTTTGTGTGTGTGATACTAATATTTATTTACTTCCCCCTTTTTCCCCCTCTTTTTTGGGGGGGTTGCTATAGATTAAAATCTGTCTAGTAGAGTGCATAGCTTGTGATTTGTATGAAGGGTTTCAATAAGTTGTTACTTCCTCACGAAATCTTCTCAGCTTTGTGTATCTAGTGATACTATTTACCCCTTCTGTTATTTAAGTGATTAGGGCTCTGTGCCTGTTTTGCAGAGACTTCTTATAACAGCCTCAACTTTTCAGCGATGTCCTCTAGCCTTACCTAGCTGTTAGCCTTTGAGTCTGTCCCACAATCCTTCCATCTGCATTTTTAGCAAGGAAAGGTTGCAGCCTGGTTGATCTAGTACCAGTTTTGCAGCAATGGGCTGTAGTAATGTTTATGACTCCCAGACAATCTGGATATCAGTATTCATGGAACACCAGTTGGTGCACTATGATCTCTTGCCTGAACTATTAGTCAACAAAAACAGTAGTATCAGGCACAAATTGATAATAACAAACTCTAATAACTAACACTATATCAACTCTAACCATAGGAACAAAAGCTATAGTTGTAAAAAAAAAAAACTGTAAGACAACCCAGGTATTTATATATAGTAAATACCTACTGAATAGAACAGTAGAATCTCCTTTCAAAACAGAACAGTTATTCAGCTATAGTAAAATATGGTTAATCTATAGATTCATAAGGGTAGTTGATGTGGGTATGGAAGCACAAAGAAAAGAAACAGGTTATGAAACATTAAGCAATGGAGGATTGGTAGATGGTGAGAAGATTTAAAAGAATAAAAGAGTAAAAGAAAATTAGTACTATTAGTCAAGAGTAACAGCAAAAAACAAGATAAGAATAACTAATAGAGAATAGAGATTAAACTAGGGGGAAAGAAAATGAGAAGTATTCAGGAAGCAAGTTGAAAGAGAGTGAACAGTGAGGACCTTTTCAAATGAATACAGCAAATTTATATTTAAAAAGCAAACAATTGGTAATACAACTCCAAACTCTGCCAGTTAAAAACAAGAAATTGCCAATAGAGAAGAGAAGAGAATTGGGTTAAATGGAGAAAGAAGAGCAAAAAGAAAAAGAATAATATGTATTGCCAGAAGAATGTTTCCTTCAAGAGTCTGCAGTCTTTAGTTTTACAAGTAACATCCCTTTTTGTCCCTCTGGGTTTGCGTGGAGATTGTTAGCTCAATGGGTCCCTAGTCTATAAACCCATTTGTGGCAACTGCTCGAACTGGGGCACCAGCCTACGAAAGATGTGGCGCATTGGATGATGAGGCTCCTGGCATGTATTCCTGCTGATTGGGGGCCAACACTGGGTACCCAGTGTGTATTCCAGTGTCCGTGGGACCAGCTCCAGACACTAGGTAAGGGCTGGTTTGTGTCACTTCAGGGTGCCTAGTAGAGACCTAAGCGCTCCTGGGACTGGCGTGGGGAGATTCCCAGTTTAGGGCCCAGGGTGCTGAATGGTATATCTCATGGGTGTTTGGAGCACTAGGCAAAACAGGCAAGTCTTTAACACTCATTGCTAACCAGGCAGAGGACTAGCCTAATATGCAGGCTGGGACTGTGTCTAGGACTCTGGCAAAATGCAAGGTGGAGACTCTGGTATACCCAGTGTGTGGGGTCAGTGTGCCTGGTGCTGACAGGATGCACCCACAGTCCCCCTGTCCCAAGAGGAGACTCGTGGGATTAGAACTCCCCATGGGAATCCAGGCCGCCTGGTGGGTGGTGCTAGATGTCATACAGAGTCTCTTGGTGGGTGTAGGATTGGTACAGGGCAGTGAGAGTTGGACATAGAAGCAAGCAAGCCAGGGCTGCTGGCTAGACCAGTGGTAGCTCTGTGTGCTGGACAAGTGTACCATTTGGCATGGGATAAACTTGAGGCTCCAGGCAGTGAGTCACTTGTGCCTGGGGTGCAATATCAATGACTCTTGATATTGAGCAGAGTTCCCTTGTTTATCCTGTCAAGTCTAAGATCAGGTGGGAGAAGAGCAAACCTCTTTTGTCCCTGATCTCTCACCTGTCTGCGTCCACAAAAATGCTTCTTGGCACGGTGCTTAGAGAGGGGCAAGTACAGCCCTAGGCTATCCTGTGGGGCTAGATTCTGTAGCACTCCTTGGATCTTTCCAGCAGTTTGGGAAGTCCTCAAAATGGCGAGGTGGGAGAGGGCATAGGCCCAGTTGGACTGCTTCCTCTCCTTTTAACTCCTGTGTGTGTTTTCTTTGATCTATAAGTCTGTTTCAAGTTGATTTTTTTTTTGTATCAAGTTATATGCCCCTTCCCTTCTTTCAGTTACCTGTATTTTGATCTTTTCACCTTAGAGGTGGCGGCTCCTCTGTTCATCCATGTTGGATCTCATCATTTTTTAAAGCACTTTAAATATATTACTTTACTGTCTTTTGCCCTCAGAGTTTCCAAGGCATTATCTGATAATCTAACAACTTGACAAGTCACATCTTGGCTTGATCTTGTGCAGATTTTGTCTTTGGTTTTTCACAGTTTGGTTATGTCTTCGTGTAACTCTCTGAATTCATCTTATTTGGAGTTTATTCAGTTTCCTGTATGTTAATAGTGGTGTGTCAGAATTGATTTGGGCATTTTAAGCCATTTAGACAATCTCCCTATCCTCCTTTTTTTGCTCTTGGTAAATGTGTAGGTTGGTCTGCTTGATGGTGTCCAGCAGATCCGTTAGGTTCTGTTTTTATTTCTTACTCATGTTCTTTTAGTTCTTCAGACTCAGTGATTTTACTTGTTCCATCATTAAGGTTGCCAGTTTGTTTTTCTACCTGCCAAGATTTGCCTTTGAGTCTCTTCAGCAGATTTTAAATTTCAGTTACTGTTCTTTTCAGTTCCAGAATAATTTTTTGTTTTTAGGTTTTCTGTTTTATCAAAGTCTGTTAGACAGGCCTGTCTTGGGAACAGATTCTTGGAATGAATTATACTTTCTTATTTCTGTGTATATTTTGTGGTTATTAAAAAAAAACCAGATGTTTGAATTTAACAATGTGATGTCTCTGGAAATCAGATTCTAGACTTTTATCTTCATTTTTTGATCCTTGTAGCTTTTATCAAGGATAAATCTGAGTTTTCCCATTACTTAGCCATTGTGACTAATTTCTCATATGTGTGAATCACCCTTCCCCTTTTCATGGGGTTGAACCCAGAGCTTTCACACCAAGCTGTATACCAGACACTTTTTATTTTGAGCAGGGTCTTGCTCAGTGCCCTCTTCCTTAATGTCTGACTTCCAAAAGTGGGGAAAGGTAAAAATCAAGAATGAAGACGGTGAGAGATGCTATTAGCCCTTTCAATTCTCTGGAAATCAGCTGGGCAGCGGGCTTGCAGCAATAGTGGCATCAGCTGTGGCTGTCCATCTTTGTGATCAGAAGCAGTAGTTAATAGAACAACTTGTTACTGGTATTTGGGGGACATGGCTTTTTAATTGCTCACCCATGCTCCACAAGGAAGCATCATACAAGCTTCTTCACAAACACACACCGCCTACCAAAGGATCTGTTAGGGGAGAGATGAACAGTTCCTCCTGATCTAAGAACTGAAATCATCCACAGTTGACCTTACTGTTGAAGCCTCTTCTGGGAAGTTTTAAGCCTTTAATAGTTTTTTAGAGTTCCAAAATAATTACATCAGAGTTTACCAGTGTAATTGCACTGGTTGGGGACATTGACTCCTCCTATTTGCCACTCCATTTTCCCAGAATCCTTTAAGCTGGTGGTGGCAAACCCATGGCATGAGTGCCACAGTCAGCTGTTTGTCATCATTGGAGGCTCTAAAAGGTTCGCTATTGCTCTAAGCTCTTATTCTTATATTTCAAAATATATATAGTACAGTGGTACCTCAGTTCATAAATACTTGTTTGTGAACAATTCCTCTCTCAAACAGAAGTGTTTGGCAAAATTTTACTTCGTTTCACGGACTGTGTCTGATGATGAACATGACCACAACCACCTTCCCTGGAAGCATGGGATGTGCTATGCTTGCGAACTGAGGTGCCACTGTGTTGTCTTTCCATTTGGTTGCTTTATTATAGATTCTTCAATGGAATTACAGTTTTTATAGATCCTGTGCATTTTCCAGTTATGTTCATTCTTTTTACTTACAGCTTTTTCCTTGCTATTGTAATTGATTTTCCATTACTTGCTTACCATCTTTATATTAATAGTTAATAATTGCACATGTAGCTGTCAGATTATTTCCTATTCTTAAATTGTTTCAGTGTTTCTCAAAAGATGGCCCAGTTTTAATTAGTGATGATTTTGACATTATTCTCAAATACTTACACCTCTTATTTTTTGAACAGTAGCATTGGCTAGTGCTTCCATTGTAGTATTTAATGTTAGTGATAACCTGCACCTTTGTCATATTTAATTTAGCAGGAATGCTTATAAGGACACTAATACATCAAATAACTGGTAGTATTGATTTGGGCTATATAGTTTTATTTTCACAATTAGTAGGTACTATGTGTAGAAAGAAATAAAGGTATCTTTAGATATGGTATTGTCATAGAATCAAATCATTTTGTAGAATTTTCATAAAATCCAATGCTGTTGGAAAACCGTAACTATAAAATGGACAAGAAATGCATACTTTCTTCTTATGGAGTCAGAAATAGAGACAAAGATTGTCATGATACATAGGGGACAAAAAAAGCCTTTCAAGAATAATCTACTACCAGTTATATCTTGGAACCTTTGTAGCACGTAGTAGAAAGAGTTTCAGCCTACTGTTAAGAACAGGGCAGATGTGAGATTCAAGGAGCTAGAATATTACATGTTCCTAGGACAATTTCATTGTGATGAAGCATAACTTTGTTCTAACTTTGGGTATTGTAGGAACCATTGAGGATGCATAAAAAATATTTGTGGACTCATGAAAAAGGAGTAGAAAAATTCTGACTTTTGATCATCTGAACTTAAACTTGTGAGTATTTTTAATATAATTTTTTTATTTTAAGATAGATAAAACCAAGGAAAATAAAGCAATAAAACCTATCAAAATAAACCAGTATAAGTGATACAGGACTTCAAAACCTTACGAAATCAACAATAGTTACCATAATGCCTTTTGTTGTCTTTAAAATAGCTGCAGATAACTTGGCACATGGTAAAAATTGAACAGAACAGAATAGAATAGAAACGATAAAAACAAAACAATAAATGCAATAAAAGACTTCAAAACAAGCCAATGGTAAATACAAAATGGCTACTATAATATGTCTTGGTATCTTTTAAATAGCTGTTCCTGCCATCAGATTTAACATAAAACAAAAGAGAATAAAGCCCAACCCAACAAAACAGTGAAAATGATATGGTTTCTGGGTGGGGATCACTTCCTGGTGAGGCCTTGTTCTCTCCCCCAACAGTGCGCGAATTGCGCTGACTCAGCGAGAAGCTTAGGTTTGACTGTCCCCACTCTGGCAGTGGCCCTTTCATGGTGCTGGTTTCTAGGCAGGGATCACCTGGTGAGGCTTGATTCTCTTCCCTTTGCAGTCCACAAATTGCACTGACTCACAGACAGAGGCTTGGGTGTGGCTGGCCTCACTGTGGTAGCATGGCACTGGTTTTCAGGCAGGGATCATCTCATTTTTAATACAATTTTAATCTAAGAGTTATATAGCTTAATTTTTTGGTATGACGTAACTTTTGGAAGATTTATTTGTTACCCTTACATACTTTTTCCATATTTGTAATAGTTGAAGATCCTTTCTGGTGTTGAAGTTGTGTACCTATAATTTGTAAACAGTATTTCAGGATCATTAGATCAAAGACTGCATTTTTTTTCTGATGCAGTCACTAATTGAGTGATAAATATTTCTAACCTTTGTCTTTGAATTACTGTGTACTTCTACTATAGTTCATATGAGTCAAATACATTAAAAGAAATAATATGTTGTGTGGTTAATGACCTCATGCTATAAAATTTTACTTAGAAACGTCCACCGATGGGCCTTATATCATTTCATGATTAGGTAGATTCTTAATGATTATGTGGACATATGGTTTATTCAGTAATAAATCATTTATTTTTCCTTTCTTTTGTTAATTAGTTGAGGGAGTTGTAAAGTTTTTTATTTAGCAAATCAGGCAACACAGATAACTGTTGGGAAAAATTATTTCAACTGCACCCTATCCCACCAACTTGAATATCTTTTACAGGCTGTGATGTATGTTAGAGTTGAAGATATGAAGATAGATGAGGCCATTCTCATCTATCATCTATCTATCATCTATCATTCTCATCACAGTGGCCATTCTCATGGTAGGGAGAGAGCATATCCTTAACTCCAGTGCAGGAGGATGAGTATATAATAGAGGTGTAAATGGAGAAACATACTTGGTAGGAAAAAAAACATAATTTGCTCATAGTGTTGTGGCAGGGGGTCATAGTACTGAAACAAATACAGCCTTGGAAGCTAATTATACATCATTGTAGTTGGGTTTTCAAGAGAATAGATTTAATATAGGAAACATAATTTATAGGGTCATTTTATAATATTCACCCAAAGAATCAAATGTAGAAGAATGTGGATCTGTCCACACACTAGAGACCAAAGAATCCAGCTGAGGGCCTGGATCCCATAGCAGCATCATGCTTGAGTCCAACCAGAGACCTAGTCCTCTGAGTCCAACTGCAGGCCTAGAGCTCACAACAGTGTCTCATACAAGTCCACATCAAAGATCTGCACCGGGAACGCCCAAAGCTCAGTAATGGAAACTAGAAAGGGTGCACCAGCAGAATGAGGAATCTGTGCCAGCAGGCTGAGGGATCTGAACTAGTGCCAGGAAGTGATGCTCAAGGTAAGGACCAGAGCTCCCCTGAAGAGAACCACAGTTATCCTCAGTAACAGCAAGAACTCAGGCTCCTCTGATGATGAGACTACCTGAGTTCATATCAAGAAAATCGGCATGATATGCTTCTCCAGGAGAAGGAGAAACAACAGCAAACCATCTTTCCCTCCAGCTCCAGTTATGCTTTTATGCTGCTGGCAGCAGTCCTCAGGTGGGCTTTCCACACTCAGCACCATGCAGACTCAACTCAGCTTGGTCTTACAAGTTGACCATTATTAGTTCATCCACACCACATCTAACTGGGAGGCAAAATTGTGCAGGACACTCCAGGCAGAAAAAACAGAATAGTGAGAGTCAGCTATATCAAAGTCCGTGACAAACTTGGAGAATGGCGGAATGTAAGCTTTAGAGGTAAGAATAATCAAAAAAGAGACCAAGAAGCTGAAGTAGAGCGAGATCTTGTTTACCACATTAAGCATTGACGCTTGATAGCATTGCATTGGAAAGTACTTATCTTTCTTATTCTGTCATATTTACAGGTTGCAGTTATTGACATTATCTATGATCTGAAAATATTACATGGAAGATTCCAGAAATGAATAATTTATAAATTTTAAATTGTACACTGTTTTGACTGATTGATGAAACCTTATGTAATGTTCAGCTCACTTGTTATCTAGTACCTGAATCATCTGGGGTATTATTCACTGTATATATGTTACTTACCTATTAGCCACTAAGTAGCTGTCAAGCTCTGTCACAAAATTAGAGTGCTTATAGTCAAGTGACCCTTACTTTACTTAAAATAGCAGTACCAAAGCACAAAAATGATGATGCTGGCAGTTTGTGCCAATGAGAAGCCATAAATTTCTTCTTATTAATGAGAAGGTGAAAGTTTTCAACTTAGTAAGGAAAGAAAAAACCATATGTAGAGATTGCTAAGATCTACGGTACAGTTCGAGAAAGAGATCACGTCAAGTAATTTTACAGTATATTGTTTACATTGTTCAATTTTATTGCTGTTAATCTCTATTTGTGTAATTAACAGATTTGACTTTCAGAAATAGTATGCATAGTGTTCATTGTTATTCACAATTTCAGACATCCATTTGGTGTTATAGAGTATAATCCCTGGGTGTAATTTTTTTTGCAACACTGTTATTTCAAATCTCTATGAGGTAATTGGTTCAGAGAATAATCAATAATTGAAGGAGAAAAGTTTCATCACAGCGTGGTGGAAGTAGAAAGGTAGAGTGATATAGTAAGATTTGCCAGTGGACAGAATTTGAATGAGGTGTGCTCCTTTGAACTTCCACATCAAGCCAGCTAGTGCTGAATGTACTGTCTTGTGAAAAGCATCGTAGTCATCAACTCTTAGAGGCAAGATACTGTATTTTGCCTGTAGGTAGGTTATGGTGTATAAACAGGAGGAAACACATCAATGATTAGACTCTTAATTTTAGTAATGATAGTTTCAACCTATTTTTCCACTTTATGATAGGCTTATCAGAACATAACTCCATTGTAAGTAAAAGAGATTGGGATTTAAAATGGTTTAATTTATAATTTTTCATTTCTATATTGAGTTTTTCAAAGTATGAAATGCATTTTTGGCTTACAGTGTTTTTAATATACAATGAGTTTATTGGAATGTAACTCCATTGTAAGTTAAAAGTCTGTTTGACTCATGAAAGATGATTAATTAGTAGCATTTTCCAAAGATTATAAAACCTTGCAGTCAAGTTTAAAATCAAATTGTATAAATATGAGTCACTGAGATTGTACATTTTAAAATGTTCCTACAGATTCTAAATCAGATCAAAACATAATTTATTAGTACCGCATAAATCCACAGACATTTTTTGCATTTTCAATGGTTTCTTTAATGTGCAGTCAGTGGCATGTTGTATGCCTCTATTGTAACAAGCTAAAGAAAGGGCTGGTTATGGTTGAGAGGCTGAGGCAGGAGGAATTCAAAGCCAGCCTGGGCAACATAGTGAATTCAAGGCTAGTCTGAACTACATAGCAAGACACTATCTCAAAAAACCAAAAAAAAAAAAGAAAAAAGAAAAAAAGAAAAAAAAATGAAGATAGAGAATATCACATTTGGCAAATATTTCTTAGTAACCAACCCTCAGACTATTAGTTCCCTCAGACTATTAGTAACCAACTCTCAGACTATTAGTTCTGATTATACCTACAGTTAGTGTAAAATATAACTGAATCTTAACCAAATGAAAGAAGCCCTGAACTAAGGAAAAGCCCTACTTCTTTGCTTTTAAAAAAAACTGGGGGTGGGGGGGAGAAAAAAGAATATGTATAGATACACGTGTATATATGTATTTAAGAGATACAAGAATATATAATACAATTTTATATCAAGATACATGGTTTTAACCATATGAAGGAAGCCCTGAACTAAGGAAAAAAGTATATGTATATATCCTATAAATAATTTTTTTATCTCTTAATTGGGTTTACTTCCCCTTTCTATTGTCTGCCTCCCCTTCTCTTCATTCCATTTCCCATTTGCAAAAGATCTCTCTCTCTCTCTCTCTCTCTCTCTCTCTCTCTCTCTCTCTTTCTCTCTCTCTCTCTCTCTCTGTCTCTCTTTTCTATCATCTCTTTTACTTTGCTCTTTAGTTATTTGTACTTTGGTTTTGTCATATAAGAGAAACCATGCTATATTTAAACTTACGCATCTTATTTAACACTTTGGTCTCAAAGTACATCTATATTCCTACAAATGACTCAAATTTATCCTTTATTGCAGATTAGTACTCCATTTTGCATTAATATCACATTTTCTTTATACAATCATCTGTTGATGAACACATAGGCTGTTTCCAAGATTTGTTTATTTATGAGTTGTACTCTTTCCCTTCCTCTCCCCCAAGGATATTTTTCATAATATATTATTTGTAGTTACAGAGAGTGGGTTTCTCATCTCTATCATGAATAAATGCAGATGGTGCCCAATTTACAATTATTCTGTTTATGATTTTTTCTTTACCATTGAGTAAAAGTAGTGTGCATTCTGTACAAATCATTTTTAAAATTTTGAGTGTTGATGTTTTCTAGGGTTTATCAGTCAGCTTCTGTATTGCTGAGGCACAGTGTCCAGCACTTACC